CAATTTTTAGGTTTTTTTAAAAAAATACCATATTACTTTGTATCTAGTTAGATCAGTTATTGCCCTAATTCAGGCCACATAGGACAGGTGGCATTCATATCTTTACAACTGTCATACATCAACACAAAATATTTTGTGTAGAAAATATGAGATCGGTCACTGAAGACATTGAATCAATTTCTCTGCTGTATAGTCAATTTACAGTCAAAGCCAGAACTAGCTTAAATCCATTATGTTTTTCAGAATGGTACATATTGAAAAACAGAAAAGCCCCAACAATATAAAACTATCCACTTTTGTCTACAGGTGCCAACATGAGAACTTAGTAGAATTGCTTGGTTTCTCAAATGATTTTGATCAGCCTTGCTTAGTATATGATTATATGCCCAAAGGCTCCTTGCTTGATAGATTAGCTTGCCTGGTAAGTGCTTTCTTTAGTATTCAGGTCTAAAGGTATGAAACTTGACCATTCATGCAGGATCATGCTTTTTAAATATTTAACTTTTTAAAACTTAATGAAAACCAGAAATCATATGGCTTAATAATATTGCTTTTCTAGTACATTGTCAGCTATTTCTCGATTAATTATTTTGGAGAAAAACTTGTTTAATATTAAAACATTTCTCTACCTAAGATTAATTCCTGTTTGAATTCCTAATAAATGTTTTATGAATCAGTTCAAGATTTCAGAAAAATCTGTAGCCTTTGCAGATATAATGTTAAACTATTTTTCTTTATTTAGTACAGCTAGAAGGAATATATCAGATATTTTACTACCTTTAAAAATAATTAGAGATTGTTATGCTTGAATAGGAGCAAAACGTTCTTAGCTTAAAGTATAGTATCTGTTGGGAAAAAATGGTTCATAATCCATGGTGAATTTAGCTTTTATTTTTCAAAACATGGTATTTTAACTTGTTAAGGCATAAAAAACTTTAATAAAGAGTTCTGCTCTTTATTTAGTGTTATTGGAATTAGTGGGAAAAGTATATATCTTAGCCATATTATTCATGTAATATTAAAGTATATTTTATTATTTTTTCCTAAAGTAGACTTTTTAATGTATTTCCAAATTTTCTTTTACTGGATATGAAATACAGGTAGTCCTTGACTTACAACAGTTTGTTTAGTGACTATTTAAAGTTACAATGGCACAGGACTTCAGGTTTGGCGTCGCGGTGAGACAGTCGGGGAAATAGAGGGTTCTGATGAGCGCCGCGAAAACCCCGGCTGCCGAACTGCTGCCGATGGGACCAGAACCGTCCTGCCGGGACGGGGGAAAAAGAGGGGTGCCTCGGACGACCAAGAGGAACAGGCAAGTTCCTTAGAGGTCAGAGGGAACCCTCTGTGACTCGGCGGCGGGTGGGGGGGGGCAGGAGCCATGGCTGCTGCCACGAAGCTGGGACTAACAACCGGACTAAGAGATGTGCAGGAGGAAAGTGGGTTGAAACGGAGCTCTTTGAAGCCAGGCTTGTAACAATGCTTAGAGCAAGATTTTTAACTATAAGACCCCTAGCCTTAAAATAGCGGCTGAACAACAAAGGGGCTATGGAAAGCTTAAAATGTAACTTTTAAGAGACAAAGATCCAACAAAACAACCAACTCTTGAATAGAACTGATGGATTAAATATAGAGACATTGTGAAAAGACTGGATTTTTTTAAAATTTGAACTGAATTTTAAAAAAGAAGATGATTTGATTTGATATTCTTAAAATCAAAGGAAGAAGCGTAATTAAATTGGACTGTTATATAATCACAATAAAATGGATACTTGCATGACTAATGGAAAATGGATTGTAGAGGGACACTTTCTGGTTCAAAAAGGAACATTGTAATTCGTCTTTGTTATGGAAAATTTTGAACTCTACAGATAACAGTCGTGGTGACTTTGTGGTGGAGGTTTTTTTCTTGTCTGCAGGCAGTTTGACTTTGGTGAAAAGAAAAGGAAACTACAATGGAACTCCTATAATTGGAATAATAATAATTTAAAAACTGGCGCAGGAATAAAAGAAGGATTTAGAGCAGGCTCAAGAGAAGGGAACTTGATGCATTTTATCCAGATAAAAATAAGAAAAAGACTTAATATGACATATGGAGGACAACATTTGAAGACTTTGAAAATGGAAGAAAATATATGCTAGCAGATGAGAAAATGAAGAAATGAGGTAGATATGGCTGGAAAAAGAAAAAAGAAGACTAAAACAATGTGATTAAAAATGAAATAATGTATAGGTGGATAGTAATAATGAGGTTTTTATAAGATAATTATGGATGAATAAGAATATGAGAAAAATATGTCATAGATATATAAAATTGAAATGCTAATGGAAATTAGAATATAAGAGAAATTAAGCATGTTAAAAGAGATTTTTAAATATATACAAAGGTATGTTTCAAGCAAGAACCATGTCTCAGTGCTAAATTGTCATAAAAAAGGATAATGATAAATATTATTAACGGAAATAAGCAATGTATAGATGGATGGAAATAACAAAGAGGAGTATGCTGGGATTAATAGTAAAGCTAACTATCATTATGCTGTGATTAAGCGCTCTACATGGGGCTACCCTTGAAAAGTGTTCAGAGACAACAGTTGGTCCAGAACGCAGCCATGCGAGCTGTCGGTGCACCTAGGTACACCCACATTACACCAATTCTCCTTGAGCTGCATTGGCTCCCTATTGGTCTCTGGTCACAATTCAAGGTGTTGATTATTACCTTTAAAGCCCTACATGGCTCAGGGCCAGGTTATCTTCAAGACTGCCTTCTGCCGCATAGCTCCCAGCGACTGGTAAGATCCCACAGAGTTGGTCTCCTTCAGGTCCCATCAGCTAAACAATGTCGGCTGGTGGGCCTGCGGGGGAGGGCCTTCTCTGTGGCTGCCTCAGCTCTCTGGAACCAATTACCTCCTGAGGTCCGGACCATCCCCACTCTATTGGACCTGGCTTTTCCGGCAGGCCTGGGGCCGTTGATCTCGCTCTTGTGATCTGGCGAGATCCGGCCATGAATGGTGTGAATGAGTTTTTAATGTTTTTAATGTTTTTTTAATTTTTCAATGTCTTTTTATAATGATTTTTTAAATGTATTGTGAGCCGCCCTGAGTCTTCGGAGAGGGGCAGCATATAAATTAAATTAAATTAAATTAAATTAAATTAAATTAAATTAAATAATTAAATTAAATTAAATTAAATTAAATTAAATTAAATTAAATTAAATTAAATTAAATTATTAAATTAAATTAAATTAAATTAAATTAAATTAAATTATTAAATTAAATTAAATTAAATTAAATTAAATTAAATTAAATTAAATAATTTAATTAAATTAATTAAATTAAATTAAATTAAATTAAATAAATTAAATTATTAAATTAAATTATTAAATTAAATTAAATTAAATTATTAAATTAACAGCCAAAAAACAAAAATGATTATGCTGTATTTGACAGCAAAAAACAAAAATGACTATGCTGTGTTTAACAGCCAATAAAGTTAACTATGATTATGCTGTGATTAACAAAAAAGAATATGCTGTGTTTAATCACCAAAAAACAAAAAATGATTATGTTGGGTAGGACAGCAAAATAAAGAGGATTTTGCTGGGAGTAACAGTAATGCTGGAATTAACAGCCAAAAAATAAAAATTATGCTGGGTAGGACAGCCAAAAAAAAGGAGTATGTTGAGATTAACAGTAAAAATGAAATGTATAAATTGGGTTTAACAACCGAAATAAAGATGATAATGCTGAGTTCAACAGTAATAAAAAAGAAATGATTGTATTAGGATTAATAGTAAAGTAATGAAGATGATTATATTGGGAGCAATAGTTAAAATATCTTTTAAATGTTTACAATAACTGTAATGATTTATATTGTTAAAATATATCCATCTAAGCAAAAAGAAAGAGAAAAGTTGAATGATACTTGGTTAGGATTTAAGATTTAAGTAACGGGTCTCAGCTCCTTGTCCCGTACGGCACAGAGACAGCAATAAAACACAGCCGGACACATCAACTGAATGGTGAATGCTGGTTTAATGCTTTCGTCAGATACGAGACAACGCCAAGCTACAAAGTCTTTCAAAGTTGGCGCTATGAGGCGGATGCTCGTAGCACTTTATATTTCTGCGCCCCACCCCTCACTACTCCCCTTCGTAATGATCGGGGCGTTGTCCCATCAGTTACGCCGTTGTAGTTTGGGATCGCATTTCTGGCGTTTTTCCTAGCGTCCGTAGTTATCCTAACCTGACACCCTTCCACCCCTTCGCGTGTCGCCTTGTCTATATCCCGTGCCACCTCCACTGCTACGACGTCTTGCTGTTTCACCGTAGAACGTTGTGAGTAATATGCTCCACCGGTCCTCCACCGTTTCTCCTTCCCGTCCCCTCCGTATGCCGAGCACGCTGGGCTCGACAGGCGGCTCCCTTTCACCAGGGTCCTCTCTGGAAAACACAAAGTAGATGTATTAGTATTGCCCGACGGTTTCCATGGGTATTTTTTATGGAACCGGCGTGTTAACCGGTCAGCTGCGGTGTCTGTCGCTAGAACCCAGGTGGCTTCCTCTAGTGGATATCCCTTCCACTTCACTAAGTATTGTAACCTACCACGGTGGATTCGGGAATCTAGGATATCCTCCACCTCGTAATGTTCTCCATGTACTGGTGGGGGTGGGGCTGGTGTGGGTCTCACAATAGTTACAGGTTTAAGGAGGCTGCAGTGAAACACCGGATGAATTTTCCCTAACGGGGGCGGAAGTTTTAGACTGACTGTAACTGGATTAATAATTTTTTCGATGGGGAAGGGACCTAGGTATTTGGGTCCCAGTTTCCGATTAGGTAGTCGGAGTTTGATATATTTCGTGGACAGGTAGACCATATCCCTGATTTTAAAAGGTTTGGATACGGCTCGTTTTTTGTCGGCCTGGATTTTATATTCGGCTGCCGCTTTATCAAGGGCAGATTTTACTTGCGGCCACAGAGTTCGTATTTTCTCTCCCCATTTGCTAGGCGCTATTTCTGGTTGCGTAGGTCTGAGTTCTGGGATAGCGACGAAGTCTTGTCCAGTAACTATTTGGAATGGCGTATATCCAGTGCTGCGATGTACCGCATTGTTATACGCCACTTTGGCGAAAGGTAATAGAGCAGCCCAGTCTGTCTGTTGGTACAAAACATAGCTTCTTAAATAGCGTTCCACCATTGCATTAGTCCTTTCGGCAGCGCTATTGGTACTAGGGTGGAACGCTGAACTAAGTCCTTGAGTGGAACCTATTAATTGAAGGAAGTTTCGGCAAAACCGTGCTGTAAATTGTACCCCTCTATCTGAAATAATTCTACGGGGTACCCCATGAAGTCGATAGATGTGCTGGACAAATAGTTTAGTTAATTTTCAGGCTGACGGGAGTCCAGCGCAGGGTATAAAATGG